CGCTGGGGATGGAGCCTGCAACCCGGGCCTGTGCCCTGACCACGGAATCGAACCGTGACCTTCTGGTTCCTAGGCCTATGCTCAACCACTGAGCCACACCAACTGGGCCACAAGAGTAACTTTGTCTCATTATTTCTGAGCACAGACACATTGGTATTTAGACTTCTAAAAAAAAATATTTTAAATTGATTTTTAGAGAGAGAGAGATTGAGAGAGAAACATCGATAAGAGAGAAATATCATCGATCAGCTGCCCCCTGACCGGGAATCAGGAATCAAACCAGTGACCTCTTGGTTCATGGATCAATGCTCAACCACTGAGCCACACCAGCCGGGTTGTTTGGACTTTTGAGCTGGTGGGAGACCTAGGCTGGGGTCTTGAATGTCTGGGCCATGCTGCCTTTTCTGCCTCCGCAGTAACTCTGGCAACAGCCTCTCTCAGTGCAATAGATTGCCGTTGATGTCAGACGCTTTCCACTGCCCTGGTCTGCTGGTTCGGGTCGTGTATCAAGTTGGCAGCTAATTTTCACCGAGCCTGTGCTGGGAACAGGCTCAGAGGCTGCGCCTGCAGTCATAAAGCACACGGAGTCCGCTTAAATGGCCATCATCTCTCCTCTTGATGTACATGAATTGCTGCGGCTTTCCTGAGAGCAATCTCTTGCTCTCATGAAAAGTCCTGTGCATCGCCCACACAGACCAGTTTCGTGGCTTTGCGTGCTCTCTTTTCTCTGGGCATTTTGACAAAACTCAGTGCATTAGCCATGTTCCTGTGAGTGTTTTCGAGCGGTTGAGTGTTGCCCTGGCCAGTCTGGCTCAGTTGGTGGAGCATTGACTCAGGCACCGAGAGATTGCAGCTTCGATTCCCAGTTAGGTCCGAGGTTGCAGGCTGGATCTCCAGTGGGGGACATGAAGGAGGCAACTGATGGATATCTCTCTCTCTCATCCATGTTTCTTTCTTTTTCTTCCCCTTCTCCTCTCTCTGAAATAGATAAAAGCATATTATAAAAAACTAAAAAAATAAAAATAAAGTAAATAAAGTGCTTGGCTGTTTGTGAATCTACCTTGCTCCATGGATCAAAAATGGAGATGGCCCTAATCAGTGTGGCTCAGTGGATAGAGCATCGGCCTGCGGACTGAAGGGTCCCAGGTTCAATTCTGGTCAAGGGCATGCACCTTGGTTGCGGGCACAACCCCAGTAGGAGGTATGCAGGAGGCAGCTGATCAATGCTTCTCTCTTATCAATGTTTCAAACTCTCTATCCCTCTCCCTTCCTCTCTGTAAAAAAATAGTAAAATATATTTAAAAAATGGAGATTACTGAAGATATACCATTGCTTCCTTGGTTCACCCCCTCTTTGAATTGTCTTTCCAAAATAGCCCTGACTGGAATTCGAACCGTGACCTTCTTGTTCACAGGTCAGGCAATATAGTATCTTCTTAACAAGACCAACAATCAAATAAGTCCTGATGATCTTATGTGGTGTTTTTGTTTGTTTGTTTGTTTGTTTTTTGGTTGGGGGGTGGAGAAGAGGGCTCAAGCAGTTATCTAGTGTGTTAAGCAAGTTGTGAAAACAAGACATGTTGAAATGATGAGCAGATGAAAATGTCAACATTTTCAAAGGCCAGGAGGAAAATCCAATTTGTGTTCCATCCTGTCCTTGGCAAACAGTCATTTTCCTCCCGCTCTGTTTTCCCCCCTGTTAATCACAAGCGAATGTGGATGCGGCTTCTTTATGTCTTTGATCTGCTTGCTCATTGCCATTCACACAGCTCTGGGGCTGGGCTTTCATTTCCTTTGTCATCTGGATAAATGTCTGGGCGGTTGTGCAGCAAAGTAATTGTGAAGTGCAATAAAAGTGATTCAGTGGTAGAACTGAGTCTATGGGGAAGTCCAAAAGACTTGCTCTTCTCTCTCTCTCTCTTTCTCTCTCTCTCTCTCTCTCTCTCTCTCTCTCTCTCTCTCTCTCTCTCTCTCTTGATATGGATTGCAGAGACTTATAATCCAGCTTGAACTAACTTCTTTCTGTTCTAAGAGACCAGATGCTATGAATTTTCTTACATTACTTTAAAAATAACCCAATAAATGTTCATCTGTAACTCCCACATGGAGAAAGTGACAGATGACAACCCTTCTACTCAGAGAAGTAACAACCTCAAGATGGTCGTCAAATGGATTATTCCACTTGTCCGTTGTCTTTTCAAATGGATTATTATGTAATTGGTTAATTGGGTGAGTCATCATTTGGAGATAAGGAGCTAAAATAAAACTGGAAAAAAAAAAAATAAAAAGCTTTAGGCTACTCAGAAGCAGTGCTTAAAGGAAGAAAACACTCCTAGGTTAAGACAGTCCCTGATGCTACAGGATCCTTATCCCCATGGTTGTGGGACAATCCTGTGATGCAGGTTCTAACCAAGGATAGGCTTGGTGAGAACCTGAATGGTTCACGATATGAGATTTTACTATTGAAGGAAGTGGGATTGCACATTAGAGACACAGAGAGAGGGGTATCCTATATAATAAAAGGCTAATATGCAAATTAACCAAATGGTGGAATGACCAGTTGCTATAATGCACACTGACCACTAGGGGGCAGATGCTCAATGCAGAAGCCAGGCTCAAGGCTGGAGAGTATAGCCACAGTGGCAGGAGACTCTCTTTCCTCTGTGGCAGTGCTAAGGATGTCTGACTGTAGGGAGTGGGCCTAAGCCGTCAGTGGGACATCCCCTGAGGGCTACTGGACTGCCAGAGGGTGCAGGCTAGGCTGAGGGGACCTCCCCTGGAATGCACGAATTTCATGCACTGGGCCTCTAGCAAATGTATATTTACATAATAGGCATTTTTAAGACCTTAAATCTAAAAGTATATTAGGTTGAACTGTATGAAACTTTTTGTTCAACTTGCAAGCAATTTAGTCCATGGTGGATACCAAAGTACAGTTTTGTAGTGAAGTGCATGGGTTCTGAGTCACATTTCCAGGTTTGTCCCTGGGCACCCTCATGGATTTGCTACATGTCCTTCAGCAAGTGGACCTGGAATAATTTTATTATAGTGACATTAATAGATCCAGTGTAAATGTCTGTTCTCTTGGGTAGATTTATGCAAAATAGTCTGAGAAATCGTAAGACACTGTGGTGACATTTTGACTTTGAGCTTTTAAGCAAACATGTAAAAACATAGTTTTTTCAGTGCTTTTGTTTTCTCATGTGAAAAATGGGAATGATAGTGATTCCCACCTCCAAAGCTCAAGAATTAAAGAATAAATGTGCTCATAAAATGCTTAACACAGTGCTTGGCACACAGTGACTTTTCTTTTTTCTTTTTTTAATATATCTTATTGATTTTTTACAGAGAGAAAGGGAGAGATATAGAGAGCTAGAAACGTTGATGAGAGAGAAACATCGGTCAGCTGCCTCTTGCACACCCCCTACCGGGGATGTGCCCGAATCCAAGGTACATGCCCCTGACTGGAATCGAACCTGGGACCTCTTTCAGTCCGTAGGCCGACGCTCTACCACTGAGCCAAACCGGTTTCGGCAACACAGTGACTTTTCAATAAATGCTACCTGTTAGCACCTTTGCATCATGAGCAAAGGATGTCAGCTATTGTGAGATTTGATGGAATAGTATTACTGTTCATTTTTAATGTTAGGGTCAGATTTATTCCTTGGGTGGGGGGATTGGCTTTGGTAATGCTCTCTAAAATACCCCTTTCTTGATCTTGTATGCATATATGCATGGCCCATGGACACAGACAATGGGGGTGGTGAGGGCCTGGGGCAGGGGCGGGCTGGAGGGGCCGATGGGGGGACATATGTAATACTTTCAACAATAAAGAATTATTTAAAAAATAGATATGTTTTATCTTTAAAAAAATTTCTTACTCTTCACGTTTTCCCCAAGGTCCTGCTCTTAGAGCCTACACTGACTTCTGATCCATCACCCCAGGACATTTTCTTGCCCAATTTCTCTCTTTCTTTAGCTTGTTTTTTTCCACTGCTGGCCAGGTGCTTCTTTGTGAACTTGAAAAGTGCTGACTCATGACTTATTCGCTACTTCAAAGCCATATGGTCCATTTTATCATTGGCATCCAACTTATCTGACCTTCACCACTTTACTCAAAATTCAGGCAGTCAGAAGCAAATGCATTTCATCTCCTCACATGTTTGCTTAGAAGCTCAAAGTCAAAATGTCACCACGGTGTCTTAAGATTTCTTAGACTATTTTTGCATAAATCTACCCAAGAGAACAGACGTACACCCTGGATCTATTAATGTCAGAATAATAAAATTATTCCGGTCCACCTTGATAACAATAAATATTCATAGAAGTTTCTTTCATTTTAAAAGAGATCTGATATTGGAAATTATCCTGTCCCCGGAGCTTTCTTTTGAAACAGATGTTCTGTCCATCCAGTTGAATGTTAACTCAAAGACATATCAGAAAAAAAACACACCAAAAAAACCTCTTTGAAATCAAATTTATTTTGATTTAAAAATATATTTGTATTCATTTCCAAGAGGAAGGGAGAGAGAGAGAAATTATAATGATGAGAGAGAATCCTTGATCAGCTGCCTCCTGCACGCCCCCTACTGGGGATCCAGGCCCCACCCGGGGCCTGTGCCCTGATCAGGAATCAAACCATGACCTTCTGGTTCATAGGTTGATACTCAGTCACTGAGCTATGCTGGCCGGGCTGTTTCATTCTCATACAAGATTTGACCCCTTTTATGAGTGAATCAACATTTCAAAGGGCTTCTCTGACACTGTTTTCTTCTTCCCTTATTCTTTGTCTCACTGATTCAGTCTTCATTAATTCACCATGAATCTGAATGTCTCATCAAGATTTCCTACACCTTCCACATGAGGCACTGGCATTACTAAATATATTTAATCCTGAGAGAGTTTGTTTAGAATTTTATTTTTATTTTTTTAATTTAATTTTTATTTTTGTTAGAATTTTAGCAGTTTGTAACCCTCTTTTCTTTCTCTTTGTACTTCCAGGCCATAACCTTCAGAACAGAACGAATCAGGCCAGTCAGCAAGCTGCCAGTTCCTGCCAGCACCTTGTTGAGGAACCCAGCTGGACCCATTTCTAATCAACGCATCCCCCTCCCTCCAACACACAACCTCTCTGGATCTCTGAAGGAGACAGACCAGGATTGGAAAAATTTCAGACTTCCAATAGACATTGAGTGCAAAAGGATCCTTAGGTTTGCCTTGCACAGATCTGCTCTAGCTGAGGGACATAGGGGGAGAATACAGGTGTTATTTTCACCTAAGAAGTCACACAAACACATTCTACATTTAAACCTCTGCACGGAGGATGGATGATGGTTATTGAAACAGCCCGAACGTAGAGACAACGGTGCCCAAGGCATAGCTTGAGAGGTGACCACGCAGTTTGCGGAACCAAGGAATGGATGCTTACAAATATCAGGACAACTATGAGGGCTACGCCCACACGGATGGCTACTATCCCGGCAATGAGTCCAACCCGGAGGAAGACGCCCAGAGCGACGTCACCGAAGGCCATGACGAAGAGGATGAGATCTATGAGGGGGAGTACCAGGGCATCCCTCACCCGGATGATGTCAAGACCAAGAAGGCCAAGATGGCGTCCTCCAGGGAGGATGACCTTCGGGCCCAGGCAGACCTGATGGCGGAGAGGCTGGAAGATGAGGAGCAGTTGGCTCATCAGTACGAGAGCATCATGGACGAGTGTGGCCACGGGCGCTTCCAGTGGGTCCTCTTTTTCGTCTTGGGTTTGGCCCTGATGGCTGATGGGGTGGAGGTGTTTGTGGTGAGTTTTGCCCTGCCTAGCGCAGAGAAGGACATGTGCCTGTCCAGTTCCAAGAAAGGAATGCTTGGTAAGTGGAAATTTCCAAAGATCCTTCTCTTCCTGGCGTTGAAATATGAAGGGGAAAGAACAGTACGTGTATGTAGCACCTGTCAGTGTTAGGCACCTTAAATCTGTCATAATATCCTTTCAACATCATCACTGGACACACAATTTGCCATGAAGGTGTTTTTTTATCTTAGAGAAATTAATTCATTGGCTCACATTTGGACAGCTGATGAAAATTGGAGCTTGGAATTCTACTCAGTTTTGTTTGATACTCAAGCTATTAGTTTTTTTGTTTTTGTTGTTGTTGTTGTTAATCCACACCCGAGGATATTTTTCCATTGATTTTTAGAGAGAGTGGACAGGAGAGGGAGAGACACAGAGAGAGAAGCATTGATGTGAGAAAGAGACATCAATTGGTTGCCTTCCATATGTGCCCTTGACTGGAATCAAACCCAGGACCCTTCAGTCCTCAGGTTGACACGCTACCTACTGAGCAAAAATGGCTAGGGCAAGCTCTTAGGTCTTTTTCCAAATCTTGTGGCCTCCTTGAGAGTCTGAGTTCCCTCTCCTTCATATTAATGTGTATATATTTTTATCCATTTCAGAGAGGAAGGAAGAGGGAGAGAGAGATGGAGACATCAACGATGACAGAGAATCATTGATTGGCTGCCTCCTACATGCCCCTTACTGGGGATTGAGTCTGCAACTGGGCACGTGTCCTGACTGGAAATCACACCGTGACTTCCTAGTTCATAGGTCAGTGCTCAACCCCTGAGCCATGCTGGTCGGACTCTCTCTCCTTCATACTAAACCATTTTCCATACCCAAGTGACAAATACGTTTTGTGAATGGCAGGCCAAGATCTCTTCTATACTATGCTTTCCTCTGTGTCCTTCCAGAATCTACTCGGCTGCTGGTTTCTCTTGTGTGCAAGTGTGAGTCTGCCCAATCCCACCTGTCTTGGGAATAGATGCTGGGCTGAGCACACCCATGGAGCCCTGCAGGCTGTTGAGAGTCACGTGGTGAAGCACAGATGAATTCTGTAGGGTGGAGGCCCAGCTTTGCAAATCAATGAGGCGAGCACTCAGAGCCAGTGTCATCCATCAGGTCTTGATGCAGGGAGGATTTTGTGAAATTTGAGAAAGAACTGTGGCAGAGAAGAGATTCATCAGAATATGGATAAGGATTTGTCCTGGTCATTAAATGTCCTGCAAAACCCATTCGTTCTCCAAATGTAGAGGCTATGCAATGGATCCTTTAGCAAACATACAGTTATTGAAAGCTTACTAGGTGTCAGGTTCTGACTCAAGACTGAAACCTACTTAATGGCCTCCAAGAACTAAAAATCTATCTAGCAAAGTAGTTTAGTCATTCAACAAATATTTGCTACTTGTATTCCATGTGCTCATCTCTATGTTCAGCCCCTGGGGAGAAAATAAGGAACTAGACAGACACAATCCTTGCCTCTCAAGGAGCTTACATAGAGCAGGTATTAACAAACACAGAGACTTATGACAGGCTATGAAATACCTGTGCTATTCTGGTCCCTAGGACTTGCTTTCTAGCAGTGGTGGCAAACATGTTTTCTAAAATAAATATTGTAGGCGTTGTGGGTCCAGATGGTCTCTGTCATCACTAATCAACTCTGCCTGTATAGCACAAGAGCAGCCTTACACAATATGTAAACAAAACTCACCACAACACATTAGTACCTGTGTTCTAATAAAACTTTATTTACAGAAAAAGACAATGAGTAGTACTTATCCTAGAGGCTTTAGTTTGCTGGCCTCTGATATATAGAGTCATTACGAATAAAATTAGGATATAAATTTTTAAATCTGCATAAACAATTATTCCTGGAGGGAAAAGGCATTGAATATACACAACCAGAAGAAATGAATTGAGAAGCAAGGCTGTCAACTGGAGCTTTTAAGCACCAACACAATTTTATTAGTTTTTTGGTTATTGTTTGTTTATTTTTAATCCTCATCCCAGGATATTTTTTCTCTTTAATTTTTTTTGTTTTTGTTTTTGTTTTTGTTTTTAAGAACAGCACCCTAGTGTGGGATTAGGTGCAACAGAGCCCTCTTGTGGAAATTCTGAGAACAGCATGATAGTGAGGCATTAGGTGCAATAAGGTTTTCAAACACTTTCCTAAACAATGAGCACTTTTTAAAACAGTAATTACTGTTCTCAAACACTTTCATACACCAAGCATACTCCTTAAAACAAGAATTTCAAGTGCTTCCACTTTTTTAAATATAAGCACCTCTTAAGTCAAGAATACAGTGTTTTCAAACACTTTTCTCCACAATGCGTAGCTTTTTAAAGCATGAAAATGAGAGTTTCAGGCAGAGTTAGTTATTCGTGTTTATGAATATATTGTTTATATGTTATCATGCTTTATCTATTGGTAAGATGATCCCCACTTTAAAGGAATACATAGGTTAACCCAGTGTGTGGAAAGCTGTTAACTTCTGTGAAATACTGTAATATAATTTCATTCACTTGGGGAGCTTGCTGGAGCATTTATCACACAATTAGGATATGTATCATTTAGTAATTATAACTGTGGTGAAGCAGTTTACTGAAACCCAATGAAGTAAGAATGAATCCTAAGTGTTTTCAAATACTTTCCTACACAACTGACAGCTCTGTTAAATGTGAATTGTGTTTTCAAACACTGCTCTACACAATTTGCAGCTCTTTAGAAGTGAATTCTAACTGTTTTCAAACACTTTTTTTTATACACAGTGTGCAACAGTTTAGCAGTGAATTCCAAGTGTTTTTAAATGCTTTTCTACAGTTTTCAAAATAATGGTTATAAGGATGCTCAAACGTCTCGATGAGAAATTAACTAACGTGTAAGAATCAAGATAAAATGAAGAATGACATAGCTGCAATAAAGAACACAATAGAAAGTTTCAACAGTAGATTAGAAGAAGCTGAGGACCTAATCAGCGAATTAGAAAACAAGGTAGAGAAAAGCATCCAAGCAGAGCAGCAACTGGAGAAAAATTAAAAAGCAGGAGGAGAATCTGAGGGAGCTTTGGGATAACGTGAAATGAAGCAACATTTGCATAATAGGGGTGCCAGAAGAAGAGGAAGCTGAGCAAGGAATAGAAAACCCAACCACTGGGTTAGGGCAAGCTGCAGCAATCTTAAGAACGAAGAACAAAGTTGGAGGAAACACAACTTTTTGAGCTGATGCTCAAAATGTTCTGGTACTGGTACAAGAACAGACATATAAATCAATGGAACAGAAGAGAGACCCCAGAAATGACCCAAGCTGATATGCTCAATCCCTCCTGTCAGAATGGCTATCACCAACAAATCAACCAACGACAAGTGTTGGCGAGGTTGTAGAGAAACAAAATAAAAAAAAAATAAAAAAATAAAAGGGGCATTGGGTTTTCCAAAACATTGCCCTGACTCTAATGTTTTGTCTTCTCTCTCCATGCCCGCCCCTCCCTTTCCCAACAGGGATGATAGTCTACCTCGGAATGATGTCGGGGGCCTTCGTCCTGGGGGGCCTGGCGGATAAGCTGGGGAGAAAGAGGGTCCTCAGCATGTCTCTGGCCCTCAACGCCTCCTTCGCCTCCATCTCTTCCTTCGTGCAGGGCTACGGCGCCTTCCTCTTCTGCCGACTCATCTCAGGCATCGGGTATGTCGTCTTGGTTCTTCAGCTGGGCCCTCCTGGAACAGTGGTTGGCAAACTGCGGCTCTCGAGCCACATGCGGCTCTTTGGCCCCTAGAGTGTGGCTCTCCCATAAAATATCACGGCCTGGGCAAGGCTATATTGAAGAAGTGGCGTTAGAAGAAGTTTAAGCTTAAAACATGTGGCTCTCCAAAGAAATGTCAATCATTGTCCTGTTGATATTTGGCTCTGTGGACTCATGAGTTTGCCGACCACTGTCCTGGAACTCCAGTTCTGGGCGGTACTTCCAAAAGATCCCGGGACTGGGTTTTTAATCTGACTTCCAAGACACTGTATTGGTGTTACCCTTAGAAAGTTACCCTCAGTTAATGTCAGTATAACATGATGCTGTCTCTGTCAGTCTTTCTTTTCTTAAAAAAAAAAAAAAATTAAAAAAAAATCCTTGCTGAAACCGGTTTGGCTCAGTGGATAGAGCGTCGGCCTGCGGACTGAAGGGTCCCTGGTTCGATTCTGGTCAAGGGCATGTACCTTGGTTGCGGGCACATCCCCAGTAGGGGGTGTGCAGGAGGCTGCTGGTCGATGTTTATCTCTCCTCGATGTTTCTAGCTCTCTCTCTCCCTTCCTCTCTGTAAAAAATCAATAAAATATATATATTTTTAAAAAATCCTCACCCGAGGATATTTTTTTCCATTGATTTTTAGAGAAAGTGGAAGCGAGAGGGAAAGACAGAGAGAGAAATATCGGTGTGAGAGAAGCACATCTATTGGTTGCTTCTTGCATGCATCCAACCGTGTCCTGGGCCAGGGAGGAGCCTGCAACCGAGGTCCATGCTCTTGACCGGACTCGAACCGGGGACCCTTCTGTTCGCAGGCTGATGCTCTATCCATTGAGCCAAACCGGCTAGGGCCTCCTCCAGTCTTTCAAATCCACTTGGTTCTTTCACACCAGAGCCTACGGACGGGGTAGAGGCCGCTTGGTTTCCGCTGTGACCATTTTCAGTGTGTGACTTGATTCTTTCCTTCTGGCATCTTCCCCCCCCCCTCCCCCCCATCCCTTCCTGCAGTATTGGTGGAGCACTGCCCATTGTGTTTGCCTATTTCTCTGAATTCTTGTCTCGGGAGAAGCGCGGGGAGCACCTCAGTTGGTTGGGCATCTTCTGGATGACCGGGGGCATCTATGCGTCGGCCATGGCTTGGACCATCATTCCGCACTATGGTGAGCGTGCTGGCTTCCATCGCCCCGGGGTGGGGGTGGGGCGCCCTTGTTACTATGGCACCTGCATCCAAACCACATCTCCTGTCCTCAGCCTAGTTCCCCGTGTCACCCTCTCATTTCCTCTTGGCAGGCTGGGGCTTCAGCATGGGCACCCACTACCACTACCACAGCTGGAGGGTGTTTGTCATCGTCTGCGCGCTGCCCTGCACCGTGTCTTTGGTGGCCCTGAGGTTCATGCCCGAGAGCCCGCGGTTTCTGCTGGAGGTGAGTCAGCGCGCCGGCCCCACATCGGAATGGCGATGGGACAGCGCCCGGAGCTGGCTGTGCGTCCTCAGCCCCTTCTAGGGGTGTCGAACTCAATCAGAGAAGGGGCCAAAATCTAAAATCCAGCCTAAATCGCGGGCCGAATGGTTTACTGAACAGTCATAAACTGTCATTGTGATGGAAACGCAGCGGAGTGCAGTGATGACAGCGCGGTGTGGGCCACATTGCAAGGCCTGGCGGGACGGATTTGGCCCGCGGGCCTTGTGTTTGACACATGTGCTAGACCCTCGTCCTCGCTCTGCTGTCTGTGATGGTGGCTTGCCCTGGATTCACGGACTGCCTAGGCAGGGGGCTCAGGAGCTCACCACGCGCTGGGCAAAGGGGGGTGGGGCCTGAGTGGCTTCCGCCCCTCACTCTCTCTGGATCCCGAGTATGAGGCTCTGCAAAGCCAAGTGACGTTTCTCCCAGGGAGATCTGGGATGACGCTTGTTGCTTCAGGACTCAGCCATGCAAGAGCCCTCTGCTCCCAAAGGCAGAGGTCTTGGGAGACGAGCCCCTGAGAGACGAGTCCCTGGAGCCTCCCACCTCGGGGTCTGCTGCGTGCGGTGGTCAGACAGTGGTTGGGCTGGCAGAGGGGCAGTAGGACTCACAGGCTCTAGCGGCCCCAAGTCTGAGTGCACTTGTGGGTGGGCCAACTCCTTGACTTTCCTTCAGAGTGAAATTTCCCTCTGACCAGGACACAGATGCAGCAGGGAGAGGGTTTTGTATTTTATTTTTATTTATTTTAAAATATTTTTTATTGGTTTCAGAGAGGAAGGGAGAGACATATCAATAGAAACATCAATGATGAGGGAGAATCACTGATTGGCTGCCTCCTGCATACTCCCTACTGGGGGGGATTTAGCCTGTAACCCAAGCATGTGCTGGAATTGAACCTGGGACCCTTGAGTCCCAAGGCCGACACTCTATCCACGGAGCCACCACGGTGAGGGCATCTTTGCTTTATCCTGTCAGTGACTAAATGTCCTCCACCCAGGAGCCCATTCAACCTTACAGCTCCAGCAGCTGCAGTGCAAAATGATGTTCCTACTGAGCATTTATATCTTGAAGGCACAACCTTATAATCCTTCCACCGTGCGCTGGGGACAGAAACGTGTTCTCATCATTCACAAGCCCTATGCAGTCGCAAGTTCACATCCCGTCGCCTCAAACTCAGGTGTCAGCACTCATCAGCAAAGGGCTTCTCACCTGTCTTTCCTTGGTTTACCAGATGGGCAAACACGACGAAGCTTGGATGATTCTCAAGCAAGTCCATGACACCAACATGAGAGCTAAGGGGACCCCGGAGAAGGTGTTCACGGTGAGTGGGGGTCACCTATGCCAGCAACAGGGGCTTTTCTCCCCTTTTCTGGTTTGGTTTGCTGAAAAATAATGTTGTTATATAAGCACACCCCAGAAAATTTGTCTATTATGAGTAAGACCCCTGATAAAAGTCTTATCATAATAAGTTCTTTGCATTTTGATGGATGTCCTTTTCAGTACCAATAATAATGAAAGACAAAACTAGCTGTGTTCATGAGGGGATAACATAATTGCATGTATTCGCAAATACTTGTTACTTAAGAGTTCTCATGAGTATTCTATATGTTGCCTCATAGTGTTCATCAGCATGCTTTTTATTTATTTTTAAAAATATATATTTTTATTGATTTTTTTTACATAGAGGGAGGGGGGAAGATATATATCTATATCTATAACTATATCTATATCTATATCTATATCTATATCTATATCTATATCTATATCTATATCTATATCTATATATCTATATCTATATCTATATCTAATCTATATCTATATCTATATCTATATCTATATCTATATCTATATCTATCTATATCTATATCTGTATATATATATCAACGATGACAGAGAATCATTGATAGGCTGCCTCCTGCACAACCCCCACTGGAGACTGAGTCTGCATCCAGGCATGTGCCCTTGACCAGAATCGAACTTGGGACCCCTCAGTCCCCAGGCCAGTGTGCTCTCCACTAAGCCAAACCAGCTAGGGCCATAAGCATGCTTTTTATTTTATCCTCATCTGAGGAGATTTTTTTCCATTGATTTTTTTTTTTTTTTAGAGATTGTGGAAGGGATGGGGAGAGATACAGAGAGAGAAATATAGATGTGAAAGAGACACATCAATTGGTTGCCTCCCACAGGTACCCTGACTGGGCTGGGGATGGAGCCTGCAACCAAGATATGTGCCCTTGACCAGAATCTGAACCCAATGCTCTAATCACTGAGCAAAACTGGCTAGGGTTGTTCTGTTGTGTTTTTAAAATATCCTACATAGCCGAAACCAGTTTGGCTCAATGGATAGAGCGTAGGCTTGGGTCTGAAGGGTTCCGGGTTCGATTCCAGTCAAGGGCATGTACCTTGGTTGCGGGTATATCCACAGTAGGGGATGTGCAAGAGGCAGCTGATCGGTGACTCTCTCTCATTGATGTTTCTAACTCTCTCTCCCTCTCCCTTCCTCTCTGTACAAAAATCAATAAAATATATTTAAAAATAAAATAAAATAAAATGTCCTACATAGAAAACCCCACTTTCCTATTACACACACACACAGTATTGCATACATGGATTCTAGACTCATGTGGTGTTAATAACCATTGAAGACAGACATATGAATTTCAAGGCAGAGTCAACCCTCCTGTGGGAAAATCAGATATCCACGGGAATTTAGTGAATTAACTTCAAGGCTTGACTAGGGATACAACTGATTCATTTTTGCCGGCAGTGGGACAAATATCCCAAAGCAATGCTGTGCACACCTTTGGTTAAGCATCTCCGAGCTGGAGGGTCACCACAGGCTCCTCGGGCCCTCCATATGTTAATAAAGTCCGTCCCACGAAGCCGCAAATGGAAAAGTCTGGCCCAAAGTGGGGGTGAGATCCTCGAGCTCATCTTTGCTTTACAGGTTTCCCACATCAAGACCCCCAAGCAAATGGACGAGTTTTTCGAGATCCAAAGCGCAACAGGAACTTGGTACCAGCGCTGCCTGGTCAGATTCAAGACCACGTTCAAGCAGGTACGCCTGGGGACGTGTGATGGCGGAGAGCCGGGGCTCTGTGGGAAGCTGTAGCCTCAGGGGAGAAAGTCTTGAACATCCCCATCCGCCCAAGACAGTGTGATGGGGAGGAAGCAGCCCTGCATGGGGGCCTTTGGGTCTCAGCCCATGTCCACCTCTCACTTGCTGTGAGTCCTTGAGCTACATACTCTCTCTATTAAAAAAATAAAAAATAAAAAATATATAATTTTTTAAAATAAATCTTTATTGTTCCTATTATTACAAATGTTCCTCATTTAAAAAAATATTTTATTGATTTTTTTTTACAGAGAGGAAGGGAGAGAGATAGAGAGCTAGAAACGTCGATGAGAGAGAAACATCGACCAGTTGCCTCTTGCACACCCCCTACCGGGGATGTGTCCACAACCAACATACATGCCCCTGACGGGAATCGAACCTGGGACCTTTCAGTCCACAGACCGATGCTCTACCACTGAGCCAAACCGGTTTCGGCAATGTTCCTCATTTTTGTCCTCCTCCATTGCTCTCCTCCACCAGGTTCCCACCCCACCCTCTGCCCTTTCCCCACGCCCCATTGTCCTCATCCGTTGGTGCACAGTTTATGTTTATATATATATTATTGATTTTTTACAGACAGGAAGGGAGAGAGATAGAGAGTTAGAAACATCGATGAGAGAGAAACATTTGATCAGCTGCCTCCTGCACACCCCCCACTGGGGATGTGCCCGCAACCAAGGTACATGCCCTTGACTGGAATTGAACCTGGGACCTTTCAGTCCACAGGCCGATGCTCTAACCACTGAGTGAAACCGGCCAGGGCCCACTCAGTGTGCTTTTGATCACACACATGGGATATTGTTGTGTTTCCAGGGAAGACGCTGTGGGACTGTTAGAGGGTGAGGCCAGCCAGTGAGAAGAGAAAATGCTTTCTTTGGAACACGATTGCCACCCTTGGGAAATAACGTTACCCATTCTCTCCATGGCTTCCTAGGCCAGTGGTCGGCAAACTCATGAGTCCACAGAGCCAAATATCCACAGCACAACGATTGAAATTTCTTTGGAGAGCCACATTTTTTAAACGTAAACTTTTCTTCCAACGCCACTTCTTCAACATAGACTCGCCCAGGCCTTGGTATTTTGTGGAAGGAGCCACACTCAAGGGGCCAAAGAGCCACATGTGGCTCGTGAGCCGCGCTTTGCCGACCACGGGCCTAGGCCATTCATTAGGATCCCTTAGAAATGATTCTGCCGAGTCCCCGTTCCTGCCTTTAACCCCCGTTGTCTGGTGTGGGTTCCAGGTCTGGGATAACGCTCAGTACTGCCTGCTGGGGCCTTACCGGATGAACACGCTGATTCTGGCCGTGGTCTGGTTCACGATGGCGTTAAGGTACGTTCTTACTCGACGCGCTGATTTCTCTGAGCTTTACGGGCCTCATCTCTAAACTGAGGATGGTGATTAGGAGTCTGAATAGGACTGGTGCTTTCAGCCGCAAATAACAGGCAAGGTGCTCTAGTCGCGTCTATAGTAAAATTTTTTTACTCCTGTCATCGGAATTCCACAGGGAGGCAGGCCACAGGGGGAATTTCAGCCTCAGGCCAGTTTTGCTGGTGACGGCGGGATGCCTGTGCTGCTGTTGGCATTCTGTTCTAAGGTTCCTCTCCCTGGGCCTTGGGTCAGAATGCATGAAGATTCGTGCAAGAATGAGCCTTCCATACTCTGGCTGCCGGTACCGCCTTCACTCTGGTTGGAGCCACCTTTTTATTATAGATTAAAAAATATATATATATCTTATTTTTTTTTACAGACAGCAAGAGAGTTAGAAACATCGATGAGAGAGAATCATCGATCAGCTGCCTCTTGCACAGCCCTTACTGAGGATGTGCCCGCAACCAACGTACATGCCCTTGTCCGGAATCAAACCTGGGACCCTTCAGTCCGCAGGCCGACGCTCTAACCACTGAGCCAAACTGGTTTTGGCTGGAGCCACCTTTTTGCTCTGGCGTGGAGCTGCCTCTCAGCCTTCCCACGCTGCCCAGAGGCTCAGAGTGGCTGGGCTGGTGCAGAACCCTGCGTTTTGAGCTGAGAGATGCATTTCTTACATGTTATGGAGAGTGGAAGGGATGGGGAGAGACAGAGAGAAACATCGATGTGAGAGAGACACATCGATTGGTTGCCTCTCACAGGCATCCCAACCAGGGATGGGGATCGGGCCTGCAACCAGTTGAAGTGTGTGCCCTTGACTGGAATCGAACCCAGGACCCTTCAGGCTTCGGGCCTACAATCTATCCACTGAGCCAAACCAGTGGGTTGGACTGTTCGTTTCATTTGTCCCAATCTATTGGTATTTTTCACCAGGAATGAATGTTGTTTTTCATCAAATGCCTTTTCCGCATCTAGGGAGATAGTAATGAATTTCCCCCCTTAGATCTGTTACTAGGATATGTTATCTGATTAGAGCAATCCATGTCAAACTCGTGACCCACAGGCTGCACGCCTCATTGATTTGGCCCCTGTTAGCCTTTGAGTTTGACATGCTTGGATGAGCGTTTCTAGTAGCCAACGATAATAATATGTTTAAAAGGGGCGTTATCTACCTCAAATTAGGAATGCAGATTCTGCTCACGAGGTAATAATATTTGCTCACGTATTTTTGTCTTCTCTGCTCCAGTTACTACGGCCTGACCGTTTGGTTCCCCGACATGATCCGGTACTTCCAAGAGGAAGAATACAAGTCCAAGATGAAGGTGTTTTTCGGCGAGCACGTGTTCGGCGCCACTATCAACTTCACGATGGAAAACCAGATCCACCAGCACGGCAAGCTTGTGAATGACAAGTATGTGAGGGACTCAGACGGTCCCCGGATCAGCTGATGGTCCAGGGGTCTGTGCTTGGGAGAGAGCCATTGGACAGATAGGAATTCATGGCGGGGGGAATGAGCTCCAAGAATATGGTGGTCCCACAACTTCCCACGGCTGCCAGAGACCTCTAATTCCCCGGGAGGCCCTGCCTTTGTCAAATTGGCTCCCAGTCATCCCTCATCACCTCTGGCAGTGGTCGGCAAACTCATTACTCAATAGAGCCAAATATCAATATAGAACGATTGAAATTCCTTTGGAGAGCCAAATTTTTTAAACTTAAACTTCTTCTAACGCTACTTCTTCAACATAGACTCGCCCAGGCCGTGGTATTTTTTGGAAGGAGCCACACTCAAGGGGCCAAAGAGCCGAATGTGGCTCGAGAGCGCAGTTTGCCGACCACTGTCCTAGGCTCCCTGGGCTGAAAATCATATTTTAGCACCTTTGGATTGTAGTTCTCCCTTTTTATGCTTTTCTGTGGTCTTCATTTTGCTCTCAAGGCTCCTCTCCCCCCGGAGGGATCTCTCAGGAACAAAATGTCTTTCCACAGGTTCACAAAGATGTATTTCAAGCACGTTCTCTTTGAAGACACGTTCTTTGATGAGTGCTATTTTGAAGATGTGACATCCACAGATACCTATTTCAAAAACTGCACCATTGAATCCACCATCTTTTATAACACAGGTAGGAATGGGGGCAGGGCGGGGAAATTGTCATGGCGGTGGACTAGTCTTAACTAAGAACCAAAATAGTCATAAGCTTTAGGAGCAGTGACGTATTCACAGATACCCATGCCGAGCCTTAGGGGGGAGCTATGGTTCCCACCCCAGGTACCATGCAGATGCCTTGCACAGCCCTTCCCAAGTCATTTCATTGATCTGCACCTGTCTTATCACATGTGCAATAATAATGAGTTCTATGCATTATTATTTGTGATTAAAATGTGGCCTACCGCCAAAACTGGTTTGGCTCAATGGATAGAGCGTCGGCCTGCGGATTCAAGGGTCCTGGGTTCGATTCCGGTCAAGGGCATGTACCTTGGTTGCAGGCACATCCCCAGTGGGCGGTGCGCAGGAGGCAGCTGATCGATGTTCCTTTCTCATCGATGTTTTTAACTTTCTATCCCTCTCCCTTTCTCTCTGTAAAAAGTCAATAAAATATATATATATATATATATATATATATATATATATATATATATATATATATATATATATATTGCCGGGACCGGTTTGGCTCAATGGATAGAGCGTCGGCTTGGGGACTGAAGGGTCCCGGGTTCAATTCCGGTCAAGGGCATGTACCTTGGTTGCGGGCGTATCCCCAGTGGGGGGTGTGCAAGAGGCAGCTGATCGATGACTCTCTCTCATCGATGTTTCTAGCTCTCTATCTCTCTCCCTTCCTCTCTGTACAAAATCAATAAAATATATTAAAAAAAATATATATATAAAATGTGGCCTACCTTTTCCCATGTCCATTGGTTTCCTCCCACATGTGCTTCGACTGGGGCTTGGGATGGAACCTGCAACCCAGGTACATGCCCTTGACTGGGAATCGAACCCTTGACCTTTCCCTGCACAGGCCAAGGCTCTAACCACTGAGTCACACCAGCCGGGCACTGTTTGCATATTCTTAACAGGGGGATCCCTGCAAACACTAAACATCCTCTGTGCTCTCCCATTCATCTCCCCTGCCTTGGCCCCTGCATCCCACCCCAGAAAGAAAGCTACTGACCAAATTACCTTTATTTTGAAGAACGTTCAGGTTTCTATATGGGCTCTGGGGTGGTCGACTCACTGGATCGAATTCTTTTGTCCTTGGCTTTTGTAAACTGGGTAACCTCAGAGGACCGCCACATGGCTTGAGAGATGATGTATTTACACAAGCCTCTCAGTGAATGCTCCTTTCTTTCTTTCTTTTTAAAAAAAATATATTTTATTGATTTTTTTACAGAGAGGAAGGGAGAGGAATAGAGAGTCAGAAACATCCATCAGCTGCCTACTGCACAACCCCTACTGGGGACGTGCCCGCAACCACGGTACATGCCCCTGACTGGAATCGAACATGGGACCCTTCAGTCCATAGGCCAATGCTCTATCCACCGAGCCAAACCAGTCAGGGCGAATGCTCCTTTCATTTGCTCTCCCCAATCAGAGTTGAACAGGTCATTGCATTTGTAGAGGATTTTCGCTCCATCCACACCTTGGCGAGCGCCACCTTGACTTAGAGACTGTCTGGTGGCCAGAGGCTGGTGCAGGTCAGCCATGGAAGGAGCCCTACTTCACCCCTGCTCTGCCCTGATCCCCTCGCCCCCATCCCTACTCAGCTTTACACGAGCCCAAGGTTTCCTTCTCTCCCCAGACCTCTACGAGCATAAGTTCATCGATTGTCGCTTTATCAACTCGACCTTTCTGGAGCAGAAGGAGGGCTGTCACATGGACCTGGAGCAAGACAACGACTTCCTGATCTACCTGGTCAGCTTCCTCGGCAGCCTGTCTGTCCTGCCCGGGAACATCATCTCCGCCCTGCTCATGGACAGGATCGGGAGGCTCAAGATGATCGGTGAGTTGTCAGGGCCAAGGCCGTGACTTTAGGCGTGCGGTGGCATTTTTTTCTTTTTCTTTCTTTTTCTTAAAAGAAATCTTGCACAGGAAAGCACACACACACACACACACACACACACACACACACACACAGAGAGAGAGAGAGAGAGAGAGAGAGAGAGAGAGAGAGAGAGAGAGAGAGAAATATTGATGTGAGAGAGGCATATCAGTTGGGTGCCCCCACTTGTGTCCCAAGCAGGGCCAGGGATTGAACCTGCAACAGAAATACATGCCCTTGACCAGGAATCGAACCTCAGTGACCGATGCTCTCATCTCTGAGCGAGCAAAATTGGCTTCAGAGAGGAAGGGAGAGGGAGAGAGGGAGAGAAACAGTGATGAGAGAGAATCATTGATCGACTGCCTCTTGCAAAACCCTTACTGGAGATGGAGCCTGCAACCCAGCCATGGGCCCCAACCAGGAATCGAACCTGTGGCTTCCTGGTTCGTAGGCTGACCACTGAGCAACACCGGCTGGGCCAGATGGGCCTGTTACTTGAGAATAGGAGATGGGGCAAAGGGTGTGAGTAACAATTTCGTCTGAGTCACGGGTTTCACGTTTCTTTGGGCCCGTGCCCTCTCTCCCTCCCTCCCTCCACAGGTGGCTCCATGCTGATTTCCGCTGTCTGCTGCTTCTTCCTGTTTTTCGGCAACAGCGAGTCTGCGATGATCGGCTGGCAGTGCCTGTTCTGCGGGGCCAGCATCGCGGCCTGGAATGGTCTGGACGTGGTCACCGTGGAGCTGTACCCCACCACCCAGAGGTCAGTCCCCCCCTGGGCTCCTCCTGGGATTGTGTGAACTTTAACTAGACGTCCACCTGCCCCGATCCTGCCTGGGTCCGCCTTGATCTTCCTGGAGCTCATGGACTGAACGTTTCTTAGGGTTTTGAGTTTCCCCTGCGTGGGGGCTGCGGACTGAAAGGTCCCAGGTTTGATTCCGGTCAAGGGCATGTACCTTGGTTGCGGGCACATCCCCAGTAGGGGGTGTGCAGGAGGCAGATGACTGATGTCTCTCTCTCATCGATGTTTCTAACTCTCCCTCTCCCTTCCTCTCTGTAAAAAATCAATACTATGTTAAAAGAAAGAAAGAAAGAAAGAAAGAAAGAAAGAAAGAAAGAAAGAACGCAGTCCTACTCCTCAAATGAAGTCTAGTTCCTGTCTGTCAGCATGCACTTTCTCCTTCTTTTACAGAGCAACCGCCTTTGGCATCCTCAATGGATTATGCAAATTTGGAGCCATCCTGGGAAACACCATCTTCGCTTCCTTTGTTGGGATCACCAAAGTGGTCCCCATCCTTCTGGCCGCCACGTCCCTCGTCGGGGGCGGCCTGATTGCTCTCCGGCTGCCAGAGACCCGAGAGCAGGTGCTGATGTGAACCAGCGGCGGGGAGAGGAGACTTCGGAAGAACCTTTCCGGGGGACCCTCGGGGCATCCACACTTCCTGTCCGTCACCGCCCTGAGGACTTTGGAAGCCCCGGAGGAGATGTTGATTTTGCGGTGATGACCCCTAGTCTAGGACCCATCTCAGCTTTAAGATATTGGTGACTCAGGTGACTGGTTTGGGGTGTCCTGAGCTGCCCTGGTAATCATGGAAGGAGGAGGAACACCCTCCAGGGGGGCTGCGTGCTAAGCAAGAGGTGTAAGGACGCCTTTGCACTTGAAGGTGGATGTGAGCGTGAGGACACTCAAGCTCCTTCGTAAAGTTCTTCGGAGCCCCGTGACCTAACATGTTGCCTGGGCAACACGTTAGAGTCATCGTATATATATTTTGGGCTCCAAGTACAGGATACGTCTATTTTTTTTTTGCATTGAAAAGAATCACCTATCATATTTTCCATCTGAATATTGGCACAATCGCAGGGAAGATACGCCGATATAGAACAACGAATATTCGAGCATTATCTATAGAAACCTACTCCCTACCCCCATTGTCCTGAGCTTTTCTGGACGATCGGACGATACATTGAAGGATTATATTTATTCCCTTTTTGATTTAGACAAAGAAACCTAACGGGATAGGTAACCTGTGAACTAACTTTGTACATACTCTCTTTGGGTTTCATTTGCAGAAACGGTATCTGCAAACATTTGCCAGCAACTATAGCCATATTTGGGGAGGACTCGGGGACGGAGGTCCAGGGTATTGGGTCCGAGGGAATGCAACGCAAGCACAATTTCTTATAGCCATTCTGCTTGCTCTGCAGACCCACATCACACAGTCCGTGCGTGGGATCTAGGCGCATCTGTTCGTGTAGGCGGATGCTTGCCTCTCTCACGCAGATCGCTTGTGACACTCCGGCTCCCTGTCTGCGGTCCTGGCATTTGACTTCGCTGCTTCCCCCAGACCAACATGGGACGTGCTCCGTGGCCTCTGGTGTCTGTGGGTGAGCATCGAACACGGCAGACAACATGCAGGATGGAGGGAGAAGGGAAGGATCCCCACAGTGCTCCAAAGTGCAAATTCTCCCTTTTCACACCAAGACACGATCCAGATTTGGTCCCGTGGGAAATCTATGCTTTGTGTTTCGGTACAGGATTTTTTTTTTCCCCCATCTCCCACTTCCCTCCAGTTTGCCTCCCTCTTCCCTGCCCCTCCCCAACCCTCCAGGTCTTCACTACCCTATTGCCTGTGTTCATGGACTATGACTATAAGTATATAAGTTCTTGGATTTATTCAGTCCAGGACTTTTATTTTATTTTTTAAAATATATTTTATTGTTTTTGTTTTGTTTTGTTTTGTTTTTTTTACAGAGAGAGGAAGGGAGAGGGGTAGAGAGAGAGAGTCAGAAACATTGAGAGAGAAACATCAACCAGCTGCCTCCTGCACACTTCCTACTGGGGATGTGCCTGCAACCAAGGTACATGCCCTTGGCCAGAATCGAACCTGGGACCCTTCAGTCCGCAGGCCGATGCTCCATTCGCTGAGCCAAACCGGTCAGGCTGGTCCAGGACTTTTGAAGCAGATGCCATTGACATGATGGTAGGGAGTGTCATGGATGCCAAATATGTTATCCTTGAGGGCACCAAGGGGACTCCGTCCTGCGACCCAGTTTGGAACATGAATTGGGGGTGGGAGTGGGATGAGGATTGCAGGACAAGCAATGTTGGCAGGAGTCAGCAATGGACTACAGAGAAAAGGCTGATGTATGCGTGAGAACTGTCCTGCAGGGAGGGGCAGTGAGCTATGGACTTCAGCCGCTGGCGGTGAGCGGCAGCCTGAAGATCTCATGCTTTGAGGTGATAAGCCATACTCTCAGCACTGCAAGCTGCCACTTTCCAGACCAGCAGTCTCCAAAAATCTTAAACCGAGTGATGATGGCTCAGGGTTCGAGAGGCACTCGGGTCTCACGCCAGCTGAGGGCCGTCTTACTGCGGTTCTTTGGAGCGACTGAGGGTCCAGGGCACCTTTCTACCCTCAAGCCGAGATCGGTTTTAATGGTTAAAATATTTCCTCTGCTTCTCTTGGGTGCCACCTCTCTGTTTACCTTTATTTTTTTTTTTCTGTACAGCGAAGACACACAGACTCTGACTTGCCATCCCGATACTCCCAACTATATACATACGCCACTGTGGGTGAATGTTTCTCCCAGTGCTTTATATTCGTCCCCTAACAGGAGTGCTGTGTCGACCGGGAGAGGCTCAATGTAATATAGCTGTAATATATTTGCCATGTTCTTAGGATGGGAAGTGCAGTGGGTAGCTTCCTACAAGAGAGCCGCGTCCACCTGGGACAACCACAGCCCTCGTGGCATGGCTCTCCAACGGGATAGTGGGATTGGATGGGCAGCTGGCACACGAGGCATTCACAAGGCCCTCAGAGGCTGCCACCTTAATTCCTCCTTAAGGTGGATCTTGTAGATCTAAAATGTGATTGCTTTTTCAATGTTAATGTTGGGGTGGCTGCAATAATTTTGGGGTGAGCTCCCTTGGATGTCCGAGCACTAACTTCTGCACCCTCTTTCTGGCTCCGTATGCCAACCACCTAAACAACCAAGGGCAATTCTCATCGCATCCCTGCGTCTCCCCACGAAGGATTGTAGGGCACGTGCCCACCTCTCAAATGCTGCCACCGCTGCCGAGACAAATGCTTCTTTCACTACAGTCTCTGCGGCAGGGCGTGGGGCGGGGGATGGTGTGGAAGGTCCAGCATTCCTGTTCTCCTCAGAGAAACGGAATCGTGGAGAATGGAAGGAATGATGCCCAGTTCATGATGAACATCTGTGCCCAGTTCATGATGGACTCGACAACGCCCAGTTCGGGAGTGGTTACCTTTAAGGGTCACCACTGTATTGTGTCACTTCCTGATGCAAGAGTTTCCATCTTTTGTCTCATTGAAAATAATCCGTGCGAGGGGTTGTGTCAACTTGTGGAGTGTTTAGCCCATGGGCCTGAGGTCACGGTCCACAGACCCCCTCTGTGCCTAAGGTCTCCTGGTACCTTGTGTGCGCTCATTAAAAGATAATAAAAACCGTTGTAAACAAACCTTTAAGCACTGAGGCTAGAGATTCTTTTTCGATTCTGAGGTCTTCTGGGTTCCCACGTTGATAGGATCAGCGGGGAGGAGCATCGAGAATCGTTTCCTTTCACTTTATTTTGCAGATAGGGACCTTGGGAGGTTAAAGGATGTGTCCCAGGTGACACGTAGTCCTAGAAGCGGGTTACGAGGCTTACAGTGATGCTCTCTCTATAACTCGGGACTAATTCCTCACCGATGTCCTACTACAGTGCCCCCAACAGGGCCTTTGGATAATGAGAAAATGTGACCTGCTCTTACCTTCCACTTCCCTCTTTTCCCTTAGATTGCCAAGGTAAAAAATGACAACAGCCGCTCGGCCGGTATGGCTCAGTGGTTGAGCGCTGACCTGTCCCCGGTCAGGGCATGTACCCAGGTTGCGGGCTCATTCACTGAAAAAACTTAAGGTTGGATTTAGATTCTACCAGAATCTAATGCATTTTGAATTTATAATGAATTTATAATGTATTTTGCTTTATGAACACTAGAGGGCAGCAGCCACCTTGCAAATGTGAAACAGGCCTGTACTCCAGAGCTGGTTAGCAGGCTCTTGCAGTTTCAGTCAAGCGAGATGAGGCAGCTTTTGCAAAAACACCTGTGTTCTCTCTCTATTCTTTAGGATGTGGAGATGATTCCCGAGAATTTGATGGAGGGTCCAGGGCATCCTTCAACCTATTGTCACATGCTTGGGCCTGAAACAGGGAGACTTTTCTAATCTTTGTTTAGATTCAGCAAATGTTTATTAAATGCACAGGTGGGAGTGCCCTGGCACCCCGTAGCAGACGGCTGGCATTTGACCCATGCTTGCTTAACGGTCCCTCACCATTTACTAGTACTGTTGCTGGGTAATTGCATATAGGCACAACACTCTGGGTGTGCCCTGTGGAGTTTGAGTGAATTATGAATTGTGGATAGTGGTGTATGTGTGTGCGCGCGCGTGTGCGTGGTGGTGGTGAGTAGCACAGTGAGGCTTCACGGTTACCATGACTACATCATGAAACTCCCCTGACAACTTGAACCGTATACGGCCAAGAAGGGGGTTTGAAAAATCATACCAATGAAAATAGAGGGGGTTACTCATTCCCTAACTGGGAAACAGTATTTCCTTAAATATTACAACCATCTGGGCACATTCTCTTTGAAGATTCTGTACTCCAGATGCATTTTTTGTCAAACAAAGCAAAGTTATCTTTAGTTACACAAGATTCGAGGAGCAGTGACTGAATGTCACAATTCTACGGGAACCTAGGAATTGGCTGTACAGGGGTGTTTGGTTTAGCTGGCACTGTAGGGGTCTCTGTGACCACATAAGAAAACAGACTCGCCCGGGCCGTGGTATTTTGTGGAAGAGCCACACTCAAGGGGCCAAAGAGCCGCATGTAGCTCGAGAGCCACAGTTTGCTGACTACAGTTCTGGCTCATAGGTTGATGCTCAACCACTGAATTGCATCATCTGGGCCAGGAAAACTGGGGAGGTTTAAGGCCTCCTGGCTGAGCATCAGTTACCTGGGCTGGTGTCCTGTGGGTATCAGAGCATTGCCACCCGCTGAAGGATGGCAGGGAGTAGCTCAGGGCACAAAGCTCTTGAATGTAAATCCCCGCTTCTCTGAGAGGACAAGCAAACATCCTAGAAAGGCAATAAAGCGCTGCATTTTGTATCAGTGTGACTGTGCCATCTGCAGGTTTCGTCCAGGACAATGACACACAGCATCCAGGTCCTACTCCTCCTCCCCTCACTCCCCAAGTTTCTTCTGTGGTCTAAAATGTTTCCGCCACATGGAGACTGAATGTGTGGCTTTATAAATGTGACGAAGAAGCCATATAGACTCATTTGCTAAAAAAATTCTACTTATTTATTTTTATTGAGTGTGTGTGTGTGTGTGTGTGTGTGTGTGTTTAAATAAACCTTTAATGAATGCATGGGCTACACACACGGCTCCAGCGATGTGTCCGGAAATACAGGGCAGTGACCTTGCAGGCAGGCCAGAGCACCCGGATAGAGCTCTCGCCCACCCTAAGGAGGTGGAGGGGACGCAAATCACAGAGGTCATCAGCCCCTCTAACCCTGGAGGGTCTTGCTGGCTCTCCAGTTTTCTCTGTGCAGCCTTCCTCTGGTTTGTTGCACCCGAACGCAACCCTGTAGAAGCGACCTCCATGTGGCTCTGTGCTCCAGGGGGTAGTGGTAGGAGCCGCCTGGAGCGGAGCATATGCTCTGGACGCCTGGACATGTGCCTGATGGGAGGAGCAGAGCATGCGCCCTGGGCGCCTGGGCACGAACCTGACACAGGAACTGAGCATGCGCTCAAGGCGCCTGGGCACGAGCCTGACAAGAGCTGAGCATGCGCTCTGGGCTCCTGGTCACGAGCCT